TATATATATATAATTGATGAGTAGTATTTTGAGCCAAAACAAGTCATACACGAACGAATAAAATCTTTGTTCATGTTGTGTTTGACTCGTTTATATATCGAACACAAAAAAAGTGTTTGTGTTTGGCTCATTAACTTAGAGAACAAATCAAACACAAGTTTCTTAATGAGCCGAACACGAGCTGTTTGCGAACAAAGAACCGTTTTGACAGCCCTAGCACTAATTATGCAACACTTAACACACCAAAAACAAGATTGGAAGTTATTTTTCTTTCAGACTTGGGAAAAAAATCTGGTTTCAGTTTCGAAGATATGAGAGAACAAAGTATATGACAACTGATATCAACAAGCCTGTACACATGCTGAGACAATGGTGAAATATTATCACTGAAACTTCGGGAACTTTGAAATAAAAGGCTTGAAGAAAAACAGTTACAAGAAACGAAGACTAGTAAGTGAAAGTTAAAGGAGATAAAAATACAATTCTAGAATTTCAAATATTGAAAAGCAATCGGGTCAAGGATTTAAAAGCCTCTCTCAACCTGTTCCAATTCAATGATTTGACGGAACCGCATGCTCACAATTTTTCTAGAATGGTCGTTGCTTTTGAAGCGAAAACAAACAAGTAAGAGCTTAACTAGTAAGGATTAGTTCAAGAGCCTCTGGTAAAATTTGAAATGAATTTAGGAAATATGCCTTTATCTTTGTTTATCTGATCTGTATATGTTGTGGAGGCCATACTTTTCAATTTTGCTTCTTCCCTCTTTGTTTCAAAGGTTTCATCAATATAATTATCAATATGATTCATCACTTATCTTAATAGTTTCACCGATATATTAATATTGTACACATAACTATCATAAAGGTTCTTTAGGACAACCATGCTCGAGTCCACATGAGTGCGTTCAAGCTAGCTCAAAATTTGATTGAGCTAACCGAGCTTATAGTGAGCTTGTTAGCCCACTGACCTCATAGTAAATTTTCTAGACCTATAGCAACTCGCCGAATCAAAAAAACTCGAGCATAATCACCCAAGTTCAGAGCTTCAAGTAAAAAGCCAGTGACTTCCTCAAGAAAGAATGGCAAAACTTGGTAACGAGTCTAAGAGCTCCATAGAGTCACACATCGCATAAAAAAAATATAGAAATAGGCAATATTCATATATTTTACACAATAACCAATAGATCTCGCTGGGTGCTGTTTTATTCATCCAATTCAATATGTAGCTTTCATGTAACGCTCAAATCTTGACCCAAACCCATAAAAAGTGGGTTCCAAGAGAAGCTCGAGGCTACACAATCTTATATCATATCACCAAATTTGAAGCAACTCAAACCTATTCTAATGAATTCTCAGAAATTCATAGTTTAAATCTCCTCCTTTCTCTCTCTCATTCTCTTCCTCCTCTTTTCACCGAATACTAGTAAAATTAATGCTTACCACAAACAATCTTTATCCAACAAGCACAATGAACATCAATGCTCAAATCTAAATTTTTAAGGAGTTGTTCATCCCATTCATGTAAACATGGTTGATGCATACTTTTTGTTATCTAATCTCCCTCAAAATTTGTATTTTGGGAAATCTGATTGAAGTTTCTAGCTGCATTTCTACTGTTTGAAATTCAATATTAAGGTCTTCATTTTTTTTTTTTTTGGCACTTTGCTTCGGAATTGAATACGGGGAAGAATTTCGAAACTAGGAGAGCATACGTCATACAGACACGAGCTACGTCCAGACGAAGGGCGCAATTTGATTATTAAATTGTTTTTTTTTTTTTTTTTTTCTAGTGTATTGCATCCAACGTCCAGACACAGCTCGCGTTCGGACACGTATGCAAAATTTTGTCCCAAATACAGTAAGATGATCGATTAACTTTCTTTCATTGGAAACACCTTACTTTTTGCCTTTAATTTAATGTTTGCTACAATAATTTATCAGTCTGTTAGCTTGCCATCTCTAGAGCACACGTTGCGACAGTACCCAATCAGAGGGAAAATCTTTTGAAAATATTGAAATTAACTTACATTATACATACAGACACACACACACACAGATATATATATATATATATATATATATATATGATATCTTCCTCTGAATTAAATCCATCTAAAAAAATGTATTTTTTTCAAAACTTTGTTATCTGGAACAACTTTTATCAATCTTAATCTACAAAAGAAAAAAAACTCAATTGTAAATTCAGTACACAATTTATCTAAAATAAATCTAAAAATCAAAATATATTGTTACGTTTCCATCCTCATAACAATAAATTATTTTATACATTTCTTAATTATGGTTATATACCTTCAATAGCATAATAATCTTGATTTTAGATGAAAAAATCTCTGGCAAGACAGCGCACAAGCATTTCAAGGTCTTAGACCGTGGATCTCTACTGTTATAATCATTCTCTCCAAAAGAAAAAAAATATATTAGGTGCTTAATCTGCAGGTCTCATATTAGGTGTGTAATCCACACCTCTCCCCTCATTTGTGAGTAATCTGCAGGTGCGGATAGCGCACCGAATATTTTTTCGTCTCACAAAACCATAAAAATCCACGGCAAAATATCTCTTCATTGCAATTCCTACTGAAGTTGATTCAGCCATGTTCAATTTAAAAGTCTAGTGGCTCAATGACCAATTTTATGGGTTGATCCTAATTGCCTGCAAATCTTATTTTTTATCACGCTAAGACAGTATTTGGCTGCAATTTAGATTTATGTTAATAAGATTTATTAAATCCACACTGCAACGAAAGAGCTTGAGGGCGTTTATGTCACAAAAGTGACGGAAAATTTAGATTTAACGGAGCATTGAATTTAATTTTTATTTCTTTGGTGTTTGGCTAGATTTAAGTTAAAACCATGGCTAAATCCTATTAATAATATGCTACTAAAGACCACTTAAGCCGGTTCAAAGCCAATTCACAATTCAATCAATTGAAACAAAAATAAAATATCTATTGATGCTTAAGGAAATTAGAGCTAAATTTTCATTTTCTACCACATAATATAAGATTTTGCCATCATTGAAAGAAATGATTAAAAGCGATATATGATTATCAATAAAAAAAAATTATGAATCCTAGACTAAGTTAGCCTGGCAAGGTAGTCTATGAAAAATTTTGAAGACTGGACATATTTATTAAGCAAGAGTTGTCTGCAAGATACAATCACATGAGGAGACATTAAATTTTCTCTACCTCCTCTCTCTTACTACCACCTCATCAAAACTTTTCTTTTTTTCCAGAAATCATAGTTGAACAAAAAGAAATAGAATAAAGAGAGACTTACAATGGAAATATGCATCTTTATTTTTCTCAAAATCAGATTTATATGGTAGCAAAATACAATTGAGAAGAACCCACTTGAAACTTGTGGCTGGTTGGATAGCCACCACCTCTATTATTACTCGTGCGGCTCTGTCGAGATTTTACTAGCTTGCTTTGCAGTTTGATCTTGAGGTAAGAGTGAAAAATGATGGAGATGTGTAATGTGCCATTGATGAATGCTAAGGATGTATAAGTGATAATGATTGTAATGAGTAAATTTGGATTATGTTAGTGGTCAATAGTTCATTATGAATGTATAAATACTCATTATGATATATGGGAATGAAATGAATTAGCCCCTTTCACTAATAGTCTCCATACTTTTTCTTCTTTATCCCTTTGCGAAGAATTGTAATTAAATAAAGTAACTGCACCAAAAGGAATGGGCATATGCCAAAAAATACAAACACTTTTAGAGGTAAATAAAAGAGCTAAGCTCAGTAAAGATTACAAAAGGTTTGGTTTGGATAACTAGGTCGGCACAACCCCATCAGATTGAAACACCAACTTCATAAAAAATAATCCAAAGCTAACACAGAGCAGCATCAGCTGAAAAATAAAGTAGAGAGTAAACTTACAGACTATGTGTTGTTGCCTCAGGACATACTCTGTCCCTACTAGCTCCTTGGAATAAGCCCCTAACTCATCTGTCCGTTCACTCAACTTGATGGTCTTATCCTCTGCATCTCTAAGCTTTAGAATCATTTGTTCTTGATCACCAGCGAGATACCGCAGCTCGTTTAACAGTGTGACGTGATCTTCAGAGACTGTTTTCCAGTTTGGGGTAGTTCTTAGAATCGAATACTCAATTTCTGCCTCCATTTTTTCCTTGAGAAGGACTTCAAGTTCAGAATTCACCTCTTGAAGGACTGATAAGGGGGCACTTGTGCCATCCATTTTTGGAAAATTAGTATTGCTAAGTACTAGTTCGAGCTCCCACACCTTCTGTTCTTTGGCTTTAGTGGCTTCCAAGGTCTCCTGAAGTTTGGACTCGAGATGCTTTATTCTTTTGTTCAGTTCAAATAACTGACTTTCAGGTAAGACAGAAGTGCTAGATTCAGATTTTTCAAACTGTCCATTGTTGCCATCTTGCTCCTTCGCTAGATTCGACTCGTTCAAACAGCCCATTGTCACCATCTTGCTTCTTTTCAATTTCCACAAGCTTCTGGTTCTCTGTTTTAGAAGAAAGTTGCATAAGAGTTGCTCCTTCTGGTAAACATTTCGTAAAAAATGCAGCCTTCGATAAATTTAAACTGCTTTATAAAAGAACAAAGTGCGCAAAAGCACTAAAAAGTTTAAATCAGTGTATGAAATCTGAAAGTTTGGACAAAAACAGAGAAATTACCCTCACTTCAAAAGATAAAGTTTTTCCAAAAACATGTCATGCAAGAGTTTTGGATTCAAAAATAAATAAATAAAGCAAAGCAAGATTTTAGATGATAAACAAGCGCCTAAATAAGTAATATTGGTGAAAGAAGGAATTTTCAGTATATAATGACTTGAAAGAGTCTATAAATAAACATATACGAGGATACACTATAGAAACAAATAATTTAAAATAATATCCTCAATTAAGAGGACATCTTTCCATCTATGAGGATACACATTGAAATAAATAATTTCACATGATATCCTAGAGTATAAGGGCATCTTTCCAATATACTCGCCCCATGATATTAGAAGCCTTAATAAACAAATACTTATAAATACGCCAACATTTATCCTGAAGCTGGAACCTGTCTATTTCTTACCTCCAACTTGTTATATGAATAAGAAAATAGTAAAAAACCTATTGCTTTAATGAAGGCATTTGCCACTAAATCAATATGAAAAATGAGAAGTAACAAATCTTCTCGAAAAAGCTCAACATACCATCTAAAATAGTAATCAATTTCATTATGTTTAGTTCATTCATAAAAGACATGATTACTATTAGATGATAACATGATTATCAATATGTAGAAAAACAAAAATCAATTTTACTCGAATCAAAATACACGCTAAGGCGTATTTCTATCTTCAGCCTCTGCAATCAAACTATAATAATGTCTCTAAGTTTTTTGAGTGACCAAATTACCCTCAACAAAAATAAAATATCCCGAAGGAAACCTCTAGTCTTCCATAGATCAAGCATAATCAGCATTAGAGAATGTGTCAATATTCAAATGATTAGTGTTAATATTTAGTAACTCTTCTTGAGGAGACATTTTAATAGACTTTTTAAAATACTAAAGGACTCACTGAACAACATTTTTAATATTATTATTCTGGATCCTGCATGTGCTGGCTAACAACTAAACAAGGAATTAGATATCAGGCATGATAACATCACAAATAAATCAATTTGTCAACTATCAACACTGAGAAGAGTCATCCAAGATAACTGTTCTTATTAAATAAAGTTTGAATCACCGTAGAGATAATCTAGCTTTCAACCAAGAAGATCAGTTTTTCCATGAAAATCAGTAGTTTGCTTTTTATGAGATAACGAGATCCACTTTTGTTGTACATAAATTCAACCATATTGGAGTTTTTCAAGAGCGTGGAAGAAAAAACATTTTTATAAATATTATTTACCTCAAAGATATCATTATAATCAATTCAACGAGAAAGATGTAATCAACATAAATACGCGTAACAAAGCCACAGGTAGTATGTCCAACAAAGATAAAGTGATCATTTCAGTTAAGACTTTACAAAATTTGTTACATTAGGCTTAGTAGACATAATTTAAGGTTACATGTAATCTTCTTGAGTAAACACGCACAAATCTATCCTCGAGCAACATATCCAGATTGTTCCATATAAACAAATTCCTAAAGATTTTCATTAAGGACATTACTCATACCATTTGTAGCAATGTCTAGACTCATAAATCACTTAGAGGAGAATCCAAACAGAGTAAAACAAGGTGATTAAAGAGAATACATTAAAATCCTATCCAATAGATCTGAGTTATTTGGCAAGTTGAAAAGCTTTATATTAATTGATCGAACTATCATGTTGAAATTTAACTTTAAAGACACATCAACATGCAATTACTTCAGCTCAAAAAAATGAGTAAGTGACATTTATAGAGAACTGAGTAGAGCACCCATCTTAATAACCAAGGCCACTTTCTAGATAGTTTTTTTATAGTGGTAGCCAAAATTCCTTGGGGATATTTATAGAGAATTGAGGCAAAGCAAATGTACAAAAAAGGAAGTAGGAATGATCAAATGTTACAAAGAGTGAATAAGAAGAGCATTATGTTGTATTTTACCAATTTATTGGGAAAATGATGAGCAATAATTAGAGAACTCATTGGCAAGTAGATGATTGATCGAATCCAACAATGTGGATGAAGGTGTTTATCGGAGCAGGTTGAGATCATTGAAAGTAAACTTGTAGGAGTAAAAGAAAAGAGATTGATTTCATTGACATTGTCAAAAGTATATGAACATTATATTAGATGTTGATAACACCAACATTGCTCTATGTGTGAGAATACTTGAAAAATATATATAGAATGACATGAGTAGAGAGCTTATCAAGTGCCTAAAAAACATAAATAAAACATATAACTAATATTTGTGGTGGTGATGAAAACAAAGGTTGGTCAATTTTAAAAAGAGACCAGATAGAAAGTATCTAGAAGTGAGAACCCATTTGATGAGATGACATGTATAAGACCACATCAATCTCGATGTTATTGCTTGAATATCTAACACCTGCAAGACAAGAAACAATATCTTAAATATGATTGTCTTGAAGTGCCTGAAGTTTCTCTTGAATGTCTTTTATCCAACAAGTTTGTTTACCAGCCCGAGAATAAGAGGTACGAACTGTTGTATTAGTTACAATTGCAGAATAGTCATATCTATCCTGATGAATGTGTTGAGTTGATCGTTGAAGAATTATTGGAGCATTTTCGGGAGCAAAGTCGGGAAGGACTGGAGATGAAGGGAGGAGGCATCGTGTGTAGACAAGATTGCGCTTGAACCGTTTATCAAAAGAAAAATCATCAAAGTGAGGAAGTACAAGGGTATCAGATGTCAAAAGATAATGCTGAAAATAATATTCATATTCAAAGAAAATCACATCCCGAAAGACACGCCATCGATTATTAATCGAATCATAACACAAAACCTTTATGATTAGGGTTGTAACCCATAAAGACACATCGAACAAACTGAACTGCCAACTTATGACTTTCATGAGCAGGTAAATGAACAAAACAAACACATCTGAAAGAACGTAGCATATGAAAATTAGGATGTTTACCAAAAATTTGATAGTAGAGGAATCAAACTTCAATTATTGAGATGGTAAATGATTAATCAGAGAAACTGCAGTCCAAAACTTAGTTGGAACAAAAGATTCTAACAACCATGTGTGCACCATATTCAACAGATATCGATTTTTTCGTTCGACAACTCAATTCTGCTGAGGTGTATAAAGACATAAATGTTGTGAAGCACTACCCTAGTTATGGATAAATGCTTGAAACTCATGAGATATGTATTCAGCACCATTGTCGGACCATAAGATTTAAATACAACTGGAGAACTGAGTTTTAATATATGACACAAATGTTTGAAACACTATAAACACTTCTGTTTTGGAATGCAAAAAATAGATCCATGTGAATAGACTGTAATTGTTAATAAATGTCACAAAATATTTATACAAAACATGTAAAATAACTACTGTAATTCACCAAACATCACTTTGAATAATGTCAAAATACTTATTGGCACAACTACCTAAAATAAGAAAAGTTCATATCTTACTTTTGCCCAGTTTACAAGAAGAACAGTCAATTAATATTTTTTTCTCAGTAGAACTAAAACACCACTTTGCAACAAATGATTAAAAACAACATTATTTGAATGATCTAATCGTCTATGCCAGACACCACCCTTATTTTCAATTGAAGAAGCTAAGGACAAAGTCTGATGAATGGTAAATTATAACGGAAATAACCTGTCCACTTTTAGGCCCCTTCGCCATTAGCTTCCCCGACACTTGATCCTGCACAATAAAATCATCACAAGAAAAGTGTACATCACAGTTATTATACACTATTTGACCAACAAGAAGTAAGCTAGTAGATAATTTAGGAGAAACCAAGATATCTTGAAAGGAGGAGCTAATATCACCAGCTGTCGTGATTAGAATATTATTTCCATCAGCAACCTGAATATATTGATGACCAATATACGGGTGTTTATTATGTAATAAATTAGATGTGTCAGTCATATGATTTGTGACGCCGGAATCAAGAAACTAAGGAGAAAGAACGAATAATAGTTTTACCTTTCCCTTGAAGACCAAAAACAGAAAAGACAGAGAGAATCATTTGTTGAATTATATGTGAGAAAAAATTGATAATTGCCAACAACTATGGATGTCTAACTAAGATTGTGAGAGTCGGATGTCGCAGCACAAAGGGCTTGTGGTCTGTATGTCTGTTTTGCTTACAATAAATAGAGAACTTCTTACTACAATGGCGGGAAATATGACCAAATTCTTTGCAATTATAACATTGCATTGTTTCCTTCCCTCAGGTATGAGGGGTATATGCAACATTAACTATTTCAGATGATCCAACAGTTGCACTGATAGCAGCTTGTGTCTCCAATCCTTGTTCTTCGAGCAATAATTCAACAAAACATACATCCAAACAAGTAATCGGATCTCTATTCAGAAACCCAACCCGAGCAGTTTCAAATTCAGGTATGAGCTTCACCAAAAACTGATAACGACGACTAACTTTATGAACAGCCTGAAGACTAGCTAAATTCTCCTTTGACACGTTAGCATAGATAATACTAGAATTTTTACTCCATAAATTAATAAAGTCTGAATAATATTGTTCAATTAAGAAATTCTATAATTACTCATATCAAGTTCCAATTGAAATCGTATTGCAGTAATATCTTGATTATAGGCGTGTTTCAAGTATTCACACATTTCTTTAGCTGTGTCAAAGGATCGTAAAGTGTTCGCCATATGAATCTCAATAAATCTCAAAATCCAAGAAATGATCTGAGCATTCTTTGTCTCCCATTGATCAAGATTTTTCGGCTTTGTAGATGTTGGAGAAGACCCATCAATATGACCCCAAAACTCATTCTGTTTCAAAAATAACTCAAAACTGAAATTCTCATGCTGCATAATTCTTTACTGTAAATCTGATAGCTAAAACTTCATGTGTTTTTTCAGAT